AAAAAAACTTTAAACAGTATTCTTTATAATTTAAAGTTATTGCATGTATTTATTTTTGTAATTTTGAGTATAAAAATAACATTCCAGTGCAAGGAAATGTAATTTACAGTTGCTTTACAAATTAGAAACGAAGCAATATTTCAAATTACCTTTGCTTGTTTTGCATATTTTTAAGAACATCGATAACTTACATTACAACTTATTATTCCGGGCCAGGTGCTCAATTTTATCAGCAAGTTTCTCGTGTCTGTTATCATTTTGAATTCTCTCCGATATTGCTCTCAGCTTATCATTGAGCACATTATCATAGAGCAGCTCCTCAATAGCCCCAGTTAGCTCGTCGTCAGCAAAGTTGTATGGGTTAATTCTCTTTCCCAGTTTCAGTTCATGGATCCGCTGGGCGGAGTCGAATTGATCTCCGAAACAGGGCAAGCAAACCATCTGAATGAAAAAGAAAAAAGAGTTATTGGTTAGTATTGAAGGTACTGGGAGCACACAGGAGCAATCAACTCTTACCGGTTTTCCAGCGGCCAAGCACTCGGTGAAGCTGTTATTGCCAGCATGTGTGATCACGAGGTGCACATGATGCAGTAGCTTTGTCTGCGGCAAGTAGTCTTCGCCCCACATGTTCGGCGAGGGCAGAATCAACTCTGAGCCGCGTGGTCCCTTGCTGACGATGTACTTGTGATTGGTGGTGGCCAGCACTGAGAGCAGCCTTCTCATCAGCTCCAAGTCCACCGAGGCCATCGATCCGAGTGACAGGTAGATGTACTTTCCGGTGAATCGATCCTCCAGCGTGTCCAGCATGAAGGCCTCGGGGATGAGCTGAGTCAACTGAACTTGGCCGTCCTTTGCGTCTCGGTGAAAGACCTCCAAGTTGAACCAGCCCTCTTTGGCGGCAATCTGCGGGTAGTTCACCTCCTGAGGACAGGCGTAGACGGTGAGGAGCTGCGTTTCAGGGTACATCAAATCGCCTGGGTACGGCTTGAAGCCTAGCCCTTCAATGTAGGCCTTCTGCCAGATGCGGGAAGAGTACATGTCCTTGCTGACTGACTTGAATGCTTCCCAGGTGCTGCGGTCACTGGTCAAGGAATAGCCTGGTGGTGATGAAGGTAATGGTCAGACAGTGATTTGGTAAGCTGATCGAACTTTGTTTCTCCTGCTTACCACTTCCTCCCGGCGGAACGCCCTCTGTGAAGCAAGTGAAGGTTGGCGCCACGCTGTAGTTCTTGATCCAGGGCACACCTGAGTAGTAGATGGCCGGCACCAGCGCCCCGTAGTCGTAGTACACCAGGTCAGGCTTGTACAGCTCCAGCGCCTCCTTCACCGCCTCATTGTACCGCGTCCACTCGGCCAGGTGCTCCGGACCGCGGAAGAACTCAATCAGATTGACCATCTTCTCCTCCACCGAGAAGGGGCCGATTATTTTGTGCTCAAAGAGGAACTCGGCGAGCCACTCGCCAGAGCGCTGCTGCTGCTGCTGCTGAGGCTTTTCCTCCTTTGAAGAATAGATGTGCTCCTCAAATCCCAGCGGGTGAAACTGTTCGGAGAAGGCCTTCTCCACGAGAAAGACCATTCGGTGGCCACGCTCCATCAGGGCCCGGGTGGCCCCGGCAACGGCATTCATGTGGCCGACTGCATTAAAGGCCGTCACCAGAATTGTCAGTGGTCGGTCGGTGGCGTCAGTGGTGGACATTTTGGTTTTGCTTCTTTTTTTCTTTTATCTTTTTCCTTCTGTTCAGCAGTGAACAAAAAACAGTAAATTGTTGTGAAGTGAGCCAATATATTTATAGAGAACAGCAGGCACTGCAGCAGTGGTTGGTCGTCGGTTTGGCGTTTCTGTGTTTACGGTTTGATGATTATCAGCAAAAAGTGGCCATCACGTCACTGTTGTTAAGGGCACGCTTGGTACATGGAGAGAGTGGCTGTCGTTGGAGAGTCGATCACCGGCACATTTGGCCATACAGTTAAAAAGCCAACATCTTAAAAACCAGATAGATATTGGTTTGATGATATGGCAAGTTTTTATTTGCAAATGGCATTTCACTTTCCATTCACGGATGTCACTGAGTCATTGTCAAGCTCAAGCGAAACGTTATTCCTCTTCCCGGCTCTCCCTTCATTGCTTCGGCAGTTCTCCCCGTGCAGTTTTAAGTATAAAAGTGTATGGAGTCTAATATTGAGAGAAGGTGTTGCGCAGTGTATTCTCATAGCCAAAAAAGAGTATCACTTTTTAAATGCATAAACACAACATTTGTTCTCTAATTATAATCAAGCAGGTGTACAGAAGGTAAAAAGAAAGAGGCTTCCACTGGTGGTCACAGCTGGCAAACAGATCGCGAGCATTTTTTACACAGGCAACATTTCACTGGTGGAGATAAATAGGTTACTGGGGAAGCAGCAGCAAATAAATGAAAGCATAGAGTCCGAACAAGCAAGCAAGCAAGCAAGCANCAACATTTCACTGGTGGAGATAAATAGGTTACAGGGGAAGCAGCAGCAAATAAATGAAAGCATAAAGTCCGAACAAGCAAGCAAGCAAGCGAGTGAAGGCAGGAAGAAGATAAAGTTAAAGTCCTAAGGGAGGAGGAAATAGTTTGGTTCGGTGTTGGTGATGTGAGTTGGATGACCGATTGTCGCAGTGAGCAGATGAGACGAGTAGAAAATAATCAGCCACTGTGAAATCACCAGTCCTTTTTGTGGTTGTCGATGCTCAGGCCGCCAGGACCGAGAAGCACGATCATCAGCAGGCCGCCAATGACAGAGAGCGTTTGGAAGAAATCATACTTGAGAAAGTCGTGCATCGGTCGGTGCGAATCAATCATCCAGAAAGCGTTTGAGTAGAAGTTGATAACTGGTAGAACACAAAGAGAATCAAATGTCACTTCAAGTTATTTTTAACAGTCAAGCAAATCGTACCAGTTAACCAAAGAACTAGAGCCAATGAGCTGAGTTTTGCCTTGTATCCAACGGTGACACAGCCCATCAGTGCAATGGCAACAATATTTTGCAAAAGAATCAGCGGGTGAAAGTCCAAGTGAAGCACGGTGACAAACATAAAGACGACCAGAATGCGGCCAGAAGCTTGCATATAAGTCTTTGCCTTATTTTCGCCCAGAGAGGGAATGCCAGCAAACATGGTACGAGCCTCGGCGCGCGATTCAGCGAGAATAAGCAAGAGAGCGCCGCAAAGGGACATGTTTCGAAGGAGAAACTTAAAGTCCCAGAGAATTGAGTAGGCGACCGTCTAAGGAATACAGCAAAACAAAATTAGATTAACACTTTTCAAGAGGGGTTAGCACTCGAACTTCCTACCTGTAAGCAGACAATACCAAAAAGCGTTCCACAAGCTGCAGTGACAAAGAATCTACTCAGCACCAGGCCAGATCCGGTCAACTGTCCAAGCATGTTGGTGATGACGAAGAGGGTGGCTATGAAGTACCCACAGCCCCACTGCGCGTTCATGTAGTCTCGCTGTTCACCCCACTGGGCCCACATTCGGTAGCCGTCCTCGAGGAAGGTCGACACTAGGCATGCACGAGCCACTGTGGGCAGAATCGTCTTGGAACGGCGAAGAAACTGAGTACGAAAACAAAGTAATTAAATATTGAAGTTCAAGGACAACAATCTCTTACCTCGTCGGCGAAGTCTTCCGCCTTGGAGATGTACTCCTGCCGCTGGCTGCTGATGCGATCCATTGCTGCAGAAAGTTGATGATGGAATTGCAGGTGCTCAGGCTGTACGACACAACACACAGCAGCAGCAGCAGAGGGGATTCAGATTGAGAGGATCAAATAGAGAGGGGAGAGAGTAAAAATCGTTAAATCTCGTCTGTCGCATATGCACTGTTGGAAAGTGCAAAAGTGAAAACTGGGTCGGCGTCGATGGGAAACAAGTGGCCACGACGCGCCGAAGTGAGCTAGAAGAGAGAGAGAGAGACTCACCGATCCGCTATCACAGACTTGTTCACTGGCTACGGCTGCTGCTGCTTCCGCTGATGTTGTACCGTCCCCTTGGTACGACGAGTAGTAGTACTGGCGAGGAGTACGGCGAAGTACCAGTCGAACCTGGTCGCTTGCTGGTGATGAAGAGGCTGATAATTACACACGGCGTCAGCAGAAACTCAAAGTGATGAAGTGTGATGCTTACGTGTGCATGAGCCGCTCGAGAGTCTCGCTGGCCAAAACAAAGCAGACCTCTGTGGTTGACCCAGCTGGGGGCTGCAGCGCACCCCATCGCTGATTTGCCAGCAGAACGTCACTTTCAATTTTGATGGCGCCGATCTTGGCCACAATTTCACTTTTGATGAACGCGATAAAAACGTCACCGGTTGACGGGAAACCACCAAAATAAAATATGAAAAAGTACCACAAATCAAATTTTTTATTGGACAACACATCGTAAACCAAAGAAGCAAAAAGAGGTAACAAAAATAAAAGTAAAAGTAAAACCGGCATCATCATCATCTTGCCTAAATAATACAGCAACAGGGACAGGCGTACTTTTGCGGATAGTTGGCGGTGTAGCAGCGATGCTGCTGCGATCCAAATACATAGAAGTGAAATTGCTTCCGCTGCCAGAAGGCGATCACCTTGGCGATGGGAATGACAGTGACTTGGTGGCGCTGCAGAATGAGGCGAGAGTTGCGCAGGTAGGCGTTCTCGTGGTGGCGAATGAGACGCTCCGACTCACGGGTGATCGACTCGTCAATGTAATTGGTTATGTGGTAGAGCTGCAAAGGGAACAAAAGGGGAAACAAATGAGTAAGACTGAATTAGAGTAATAGAGAAGAAACAGAAATAGAAAAAAAGTGCTCATGCCTTGCAAGAAAAAGCGTCTTTTGTTCTTGACTGGTTTAGTGTAAAGAAAAACGAAAATAATTGTTCATGCGTTTAGAAAACAAAGAAGAGGACATTGAAACATAAAATAAAACAAATTGGTTAATAAAAGTTAAATGAAAAACAGGGTGCAATGGAGTTGGACAAGGACAGAGTTTGGGTTGATACGTACGTTGTGGCCCTCCTCTTCAAAAACTACATCTCCATCGGCCATGTTGAGAATGTCCAGTGGCACTTCCGCTGAGTGGTGGTCCCGAATGAGGACAGTGTCTTTGTGGTTGGTCCTGGAAAGTGTGTGTGGTCAGTGGCAGTCATAAGTACTTTACTAACTACTCCCTTGGCACTTACAGTGTGACAATCAACTTGATGTAGCACTTGATCTGTCCTGAGCCCATGCAGGCAGCACAGGTGAGCATTCCATCGCCATTGCAGTTGTAGCACCTCAGACGGCCTCTTCCGTGACACCGCCAGCAGTAGTCGCTGGATTCAAGTGACTTTGCCAGCGCCGACTTGTGGTAGTATCCGCCGCCGTTGTAGTAGCCATTTCCAGTACAAGTTTGACAAGATTTCTGTAACAAAAAAGTGTTACTATTTTAAAAGGAAAACACTCAGCTTAAAACATTTTACCGAACCCGAGCCAGCACAGGTGGTGCACCTCTTTCGGCCGATTCCACCGCAGTTGTGGCAGGAGTGGATGGACACCGTACCGGGCACTATCACATTGATGACTTTATTCTGAAAGAGATCCAAGGAGCCACGCGGCACTCTGATAGAGTCCTTCCGGCAGATTTCATTGCCAACGGCACTACTGGCACCGACACCGGTGATGGCACTTGGTCCTGGCGCCACCCCTCTCTCCTTGTCGGCGGCAATAATTTGGTTCTGCTGAATGTACCACTCGAGGTGCTTAATCTCATTCACCTCAATGTTCCAGGCATTGTCGGGCAGCGAGAGACTGCAGCTCTCCGGGAAGGTGATGCAGGCGTCAGCGTACGGTTCATACGTCCAGCACAGTTGTCGCTTCTCACAGAAGCTTTCCAGGGAATACTAAATGATTAGAGGGTCATTATTAGAGTGACTCTATAAACAGCATCGTTATCTAAACATCTAAGCATCCTACCTGAAAAACATACGAATGCATCATATCTCTAATGGTCATTTGGTTGGCCGCTTTCTTTCCATAGCAAAACTTGTTTTGGACATAACAGTGCAAGGCATCGCGGGCTGCTGCATTGCTGATCTCACCGGTGGCGATGTTTCTGAAGAAAAAAAGATCAGTTTTGTTGTTACCACCAGTTCCCCTCATTTCTCTCCTTTAATCTCTTACTCTGGCATTCGGTCTAGGTCAAATGACTTGACCATTGTGTCGGTGGTGCTGTTGCTGCCTGAGTAGGTGCGAATTCTCGCCACTGAATCCTCGTCGGGGGCAACCACTGCTTCAAAAGAGAGCTCAGTGGCACCGATGGCTGCGGCGGCAACCGGGTTCGCCGGTCGAATTTCAGTGGGCGTGAATGTGACAAACTCAAAACCCTTGATCACCTTCATTGATTCGATGCTAGGTGGTGGCGGAGTTTGCTGGTGCAGTGCTGAGGCACTTCCGCCGATGGTCTGCGCACAGTGGTCAGAGTCGTCGTAAGGGTCCATTGTTGAGTTCGCTAATTGAGGACAAATTGTGATGGTTGCTGACATTAAAAACATTTACATAACCGCACATCATTTCATACCTCTTGAGAATGATTTTCGCTGCAGGTAAATACTTTGACGACGATATTTAGATGACATGGTCACAGTGGTTAACGTTTGTTGTTTCAACAAAACAAAAATACTTTAAAAATAGTTTGAAAAAGCCAAAAACACTTTGCAAACAAAAAGATATCACAGTTACATTTACAACGAATAATTCACAAATAATTCAAGCACATTATCAACTCTGTTTAGAAATTTTCTTTTTGTAATTCAAAACTTGATCATCAAAATTCTTCTGATCCATCATGCGGATCAGTTTAGATTAGTAGGCAGAAGGTCGAGGAGAAGAAGTTGAGAAATAAACTGCTCCTTTCAGTCTTAATTTGTCGTGCAGTATGGAGCGGGCTGTGGTGAGGTTGAGAATGAAATGAAATCGAAGACAACAACAACAACCACCACAACAGCAGCAACATCAAAACAGACGGTGCGGATTTGGAGGCGCCAGAAAACACAAAGTTTATTTATATAATTTAAAAGAAAACTGGTGCACTCGATGAGAGAGAAAAAGAAAAAGAGAAAAAAGAAAGTCGAAGAATAAAGACGAAAAAGAGGCAACAAGTCTCCGTCTCTGTTCTCTCCTAAAACTTGTGCCGCAAACTTGTGCGGTGCCGAGTTTCACAATTTTTTATATAATTTGCTTTTTATTGCTGAGCGGTTGTCGAGCGGTCTTTGCTTTCTTCTTCTTCTCAGCCAGAGTGAAGTCGTTGCTTCATTCACTGACTG